GGACTGTTTATCAAACATCCCCTCCTGAGTTTGGTTATGTCGTCTTTGCTGTACTGATGAAGCACGGTCGATATTCCCTCGCGATTTTGTCGTACCGCCAATTCAACGTTCTCGGAATTTTACTATCGGACCGAGGGAATGTTTGTATGCATTTCTCCATCCCTCGTAGTTGAATTCTCACTTTTATATTTTGCCGTGAATGCGTTGGCTATTGTCATTTCAAGTTTCAGCTTAGGTATATCCGTTTTTTTTTAAATTTTTTTAAATTTCTTGATTTTATTCCTTGACGCGATATAAATTTGTATGCATCCTAGATATAATATTGCCGGTCTTTACCAGTAATATATAAAAATTGAAACAATTCTTACTAATAATTTTATTTGTAGATTGTAATGCTATGTGTGACATGGATTTTACGTCTGAAGAAACTACACGTAGTGATTTTGAACAAATTTGTTCAGGTGAATCCGCGGAAGTATTGCTGTCGATAAAAAATGGTGGATATCCAACCATTGATGAAATTAAGACAGAGATAATTGAAGATGATACGATGGATATGGATGATCCACATAATTTGAATCATTCGGATCAGCAAATGGATACAGAGGAGTCAGAACCGATACCGGAACTGGGACCTGCGGCTTTAGGTCTACAAAGGGTAGGCACTCAGCCACCTTCCAAGCCCAATCCCCCAACACAACCCGTACAGGTATTGAATCGTAGAGGGATGCCAGCGAGAATTAGAAAAAAGAACAAGTTGTTCTATGATGACATCTTGATCAATCATCCACATCACAGGTGATTTGTTCTTATAATTAAAAATAAAAATTAAGTTTAATTAGATAGATAAAAAAATGATAATTGCGTATAGGGCTAAATCTTTTTAAATCAAGAATTTTAATTTTTCAGAAAACTTTACTAAATTCCCTGGCTTTTCTCTGATTTCTTTGACCATTTTCAGTTTCTTATTTTCTTGATTTTCAATTTTATGACAGTCCTCTGAATTAAATATTTTTTTCTAATTTAATAATATGTTCATAGAATCAAGAAGGATCCTTCGGCTGTAGACGCAAAACAATCTCCCAAAAAGATGATGCGACCGACGCCAGTGAAAAGACAGTCTAAGATGTCGACCACACCAAAAAGTACTTGTTCATCTTCGCAATCACAACCAACAACTCCTGTAACGACTCCAATCAAGCAAGAGAAGGAGCCTGATAAGTTGGCGCAACTTACATCACCTGATCGTAAAATAGGGCAGAAAATTGGCATGAGACTGAGAAACTTGTTAAAGTTACCAAAGGCGCATAAATGGGTTTGTTACGAGTGGTTTTACAGCAATATAGATAAGTATGTACAAATACAATCATTGTATTTGATCTATATTTTTTAGTATCGGAGTTATAAAATCAGTTTTCCTAATATTCTATATACCAATGTTTCTTGCAGGGTGTTATTTGAAGGCGATAACGATTTCATGATATGCTTAAAAGAATCGTTTCCACAATTGAAAAGTCGCAAACTTACGCGCGTGGAGTGGTGCAAGATTAGAAGGATGATGGGCAAACCGCGAAGATGTTCGCAGTCGTTCTTTGAGGAAGAGAGACGTGAGTTGGAGAGGAAGAGGCAGAAAATACGGATGTTACAGCAGAGAAAGACGACAGACATAAGTAGTTTCAAGGATCTGCCATCTGAAATACCATTGCAATTAGTAATCGGTACGAAAGTAACGGCAAGATTAAGGAAACCTCAGGATGGTTTATTCACTGGAAGCATCGACGCTGTCGATACCAGTAATAATACTTACAGAATTACATTCGAAAGAGCTGGACTTGGGACGCACAGTGTCCCTGATTATGAAGTCCTGGTATGTTGTTTGTTCGCTCCGATGAAAATATTTACGTTTATATTTATATATTAATACATGATTTATATTTACTAGTCAAATGAACCGCCGGAAACGATCAGCTTGACATCATTCTCCCAGAAATTCAGACCACGGCCTTTACAATATGCATCTTCATCACCATACATGATGAAGTTATCTCCACGATTGACCAATGACCCTTTAATATCGAACGCATCTGTCTCCATTCCGAAAAAGACCAATACCGGTGGAACAGTGAATGGTTTTCCACTCAAGTTGCTTGAACTGATGGTCAAAGTAAATAAGATATTAACAACCAAAAAGAATAAAATCAAAAAATTGAAGGAAATGAATGGAGAAGCTGAAAAAAGACGTTCCTTAGGTGAATCGCTTCCTCCCGATTTCGAAAAAAAATATGCAGGGTATGGTTAGCTAAAAATATATAAAATTTAAAATTATATATTATACTTTTAATATTATATTGTTGTTTTTAGAATTATTGTCGAATTAGAAAGAATGAATGGAGCTCTTCAAGACTTTTTGAATGAGATACAAGAACTGTGTCAGGAAATGGCGCCCGAACCTAGTGTGGCAGCAATGTTGGCACCGTCACATCTCCGAGAGAAATGTAAACAAGAAGCGGCAGATATGGTCGCTAAAAATAATGTAATAAACGATAAAGAACCAGGAAAAATGAATCAATTGGTAACTGATTTGACTGCGTTGATGTTACAAGTGAAAGTAAGATAAATGGATATTTTTGTTAAATTTATTTTACCCCTTGCTTATCCGATACTAAAAACATTATTTTCTTTATCTCGCAGAGCTTATCAGATTCCGATCGAAACGCATATGAGCTCAAAGTACTACAAGGTACCATAGAGCAAATAAGATCAAAACTCAGCCCACAAAATCAGCAAGTGTTTCAAAATTGCGTTGAAATTCACATGCAACACTTTCAAGTAGGCTTAGGACAGATGGGTCCTCTAACGCCATTTATGGCACAAAGAGTTTGAAGAAATGAAATAAGAACTCTCATATTCTCACCAAGTGTACAGTACAACAGATGTCATACGTCGCGATATTTTTAGAAAGCAAGAAACTAATTCTGTATTTTCTCATCTTGTATAGACTATATTAATAATATATTACCATGTAAAGTGCATGCTACACAATATATATATATATATATATAATTCAAGCTAGTTTTGTATATACAAAATATCAGTTCTTCAATTTCTTTTTGACGATACATTCATGAGACACTTAGAGAAAAATTTGTGTACTGTTGGATAATATTATTGAATATATTGTGATTATCTAAAAATGTTCATTTTTCAGAATTTTATCTACTGTATACAAGAACTCGGACCAAAAAAATTTAGTCCAGATAATGGCACGAAATTTTTTGGCTAAATGTAACTTTTGGTACCAGTTCTTTTATCGTAATAGTTATCGGGTTCGTTTAGATTTCGATCTTTTTCGTTTACGATAATTGTACACTTGTAACGGTCACTGTTATCATTAAAAGAACTGGAACCGAAACCGAAAGCTATGTAGTATTGGATTATAATCGTAATCATTTTGAAGTTTTAAATCATGATGTAAATTCGGTCTGAGTCCCTGAATGCATCGTTTGATTAGACATAAATATAAATGGCAATTTACTGTCAAGTCAATTGCGATATTAGTATATGTGCGCATAGTAAAATTATATTCATTAAAATTAAAAAAAAATGTAAACTTGTGTGTGTATATGTACACACACACACACACACACACACATATGTACAGTCGATTTATATAGATAACTATATAATTTGTTATAAGAGAGGCTCTATGCACAGTGCAAATGTAATTTAAAAGTTTCAACTAATTATAACGAAATTTATTGTCACAAATAAAAAATGTCTTTAATCCACTTATATCTAAAAATAATGTATGCTAATATTCTTTTCATAAATTTTAATCACTAAAAAAATTTGACTTACTAAGTATGTTCTTTAATACATTTGTATATTTATGTTTAAATATCCATGATTCGAATTACGTAATCAATCCAAAGAAAATATATTTTTGAGTAAAATGAAGTAATTTTTGAAATATGTATGTATAATAATTTCGCATGATTAAGTACATATAACAAATGTATATACAAAGTGACAGAGTAAAAGATTGATAATTTATAAAATGAATATTTCTTACCCTGAACATTTACTAATTATTAAGTGTAACCTATTTCACAATAAGTGAATTCTTTTTAAAACACAACGTAATGTTTGTAGAACGTCAAACATTTTTTTACTTATTTTATGCGTCTACTATAAATAAGTTACGAGGTTTATTTTGTAAAATATCAAGTAATGCATATAATCTATAATACTTTTACACTGTAATTAACAATGTAGAACATTTCAGCAGCTATTACAAGCACAAACTGTCTTGTTCATAATATACATTATTGTATTTCTACTATACATATTGTACATATATTTCCAATTATTATTATTACATTATTGATTACAATTGCATGTAAGTTGAGACATTTTTAAAGAAACTATTCCATTTTTGCATTCTTACATAAAAACAATTGTTCTTTTATACAATATTTGTAAATAACAATTGGAAAAAATTTATCATTGATATCTAACAAAAACTTTTCTTCGTTTACTTTTCATGGCGTAAGAATACAAGATCATTTATTGCGCATAATAGTGATTGAATTGAATTTGGAGCAATTTCTTATTAGTGATCAATTTTTAATAGCGACTTAAGGGTGGGATTACATTTGTGTTTTTGTTATACGACAGATTTTTTAAGCCTCTTGATTGGCTATAAAATAGGGCGATTCCTCTCTGTTTTACAGCCTTTGTCGTATGACAAAAATGGATAAATAAAATATCAATTCTCTATATTGGCTTATAACATTTTGGGCTAATTTTTTGATTGGTCATTCACTGCGTATTTTAAGAGCGAAACACTTTGTATTATTACACCATGCTTTTCATAATTATGTTAAGTTCTTAGGCAATCGCAAAATTTAGATTTTATGGAATGATGAGAATAAAGTTCAATACAAAATCATTACACTGATTAATATTAAACAAATATTCCATAGATTAGCGTTTGCTTCATTCTTCAAGCTCAAAGTAACATAAAAAAACCGTCTTGTTCGAATATGTAGATCGAGTTTGCGTAATTTCTTTTTTACTTTTTATGCTTATTCAACGCTTCTAGTAATTCATCTGCGTCTTCACTAGTTTTCACTCTTAACAGCACTGAGACTGGTGGCGGTGAAGAATCTGGCATTGGTAGGCAGACCAACATTATTGTGTTCTTGTTCATACGCTTCGTGGGAATGCTTTGAGTCAACAGAGTATTGAGTAATAAATTACCCAAAGCAGTGTTGGCTCGTACTATCAATTGCGTCTTTCCGTTCGGTGTCGGTTTCAGATACAACATCCCAATGCCTCTGTCAGTAAAAATGTTGCCTTTCTTTATGAAGACTTTACACCTATAAAAAAAGTATATTATTTAGAAAGTTATTCATCTATATATATATATATATATAAAATACAAAGATAAACTTTTTAAAAAGTGTTCTTTTTATGCAATTTTATTTTGATATTTGTATAATAAGTTAAGAAATTACAATGTACAACTTACCTTTGTTCATAAGTAGCACCTTCTTCAGTTATTGGTTTGAAATCTGGTTTCGGCGGTTCTTCATCTTCTTCATCTTTATTTTCATTATCTGCTTTATCCTCGGATTCTTGTGGTTTTACTGCTTGAGGAGCAAATGAAAATGGCTTTGCACTGTAAATTATGAAAATGTTTTTTGTACTTCGTTCAATAAAAAATATAATAAATAAGTTAATAAATAAATTACCTTCCGAAACTAAATCCAGCAGTCACGTTACTGGTAGTAGAACTCTGTCCAAAACTAAAAGTGGGAAAGGTAGGGGCTACAGACTTTGCGTTGGAGTTTGTTTCCTCCTCGTCTTTATTTGCACTATCTGAAACGGTAGATTTGTTTAACAAGGGATTACTTTCCACACTTGTATTGCCAAATACATTTTTACTAGCAATATTCGACTCTGTGCTTCCAAAAATAGATTTACTCTTATCAGGAGTTATATCTGTACTACCAAACACAGACTTAAGATTATCTGTTTTCTGTTCTGTACTACTAAATACTGATTTGGTATTTGCAGTGATGTTAGAAAATATAGACTTTTCAGGTTTTAATTCTGTTCCCACAGTTAAAGTGGATTTTGCATTTGCATTTGAATTCCCAAACAGTGACTTTCCTGGTTTTTTCTCTGATTTCTTCTCTGAACTTATATCTTGTTTACTATCATTTTTTGCAGCCTGAGTTATATGTTCAGAAGTATGCGAGATTTGTGTCTTGGTACTTTCTTCTTTTGATGTAATTTCTTTCAAATATCTCTCATAATCTTTAAATATAGGTGTTAATATACAAAACGGGTTTGCATCTACATGGCTCTTTATCCATGTAGTGACGCTTTCATTTAATCCTTTCAATTTTGCGTAATAATCCGACGAATGACTCCTTGTCTTTTCAGTTCCTTGCTCAACTGAATTTTTTTTGCTCGTACTTATACTTGATGGTGTTTGTAATTTGGCAACATCATCTCTTTTATCTGTATCAATTTCAGAGATCTTAGGAGCTCCATTGCTCGCAGTTTGTTTGTTACTTGTATTTACAGTCGTTGCAGTAGAAGTAGTCATGCTAGAAGTAGTGCTTGCATTAGCTAGAAAACCAAATGGAGATAAACTTGGAGTAGTTTTGAAACCCGTAAATGACCCAAATGCACTTTTAGTAGGACTCCCCTGAAATAATTAATACAAAACAATGACCTCCGTTACACGGCACACTTTACGCCAAAGTTATAACATCGATGTTATGAAACTGGCCAATCATAGCTATTCCTCTGAAGAATGGAAGGACTGTGATTGGCTACTTTTATAACATCGATGTTATAACTTCGGCGTAAATCGAACCGTGTAAACATAGTAAATGATAAAAGCAAGTAAAATTGAAATTAAAAAACAGTCAGGACATATACTTACATCCTTCGATGGCAAACGACGCCTTGCTGTTTTTATAACTCTCTTCTCAAGTATATCATTTGAGGCCAACACAAATGTTCCTGCATCCTCTGGTTCATTCTCTTCATTCCAATTGTCATGATTTAATTCTGTTGTTGCAGTTCGCTTACTTGACATACCTGCTATCTGATGTATACTTCATATGTACATAAAGAAGAATATTAGTGACAATAGAATATTAAGTATATTAAACGTTTACTCTGTAAACGTTTGAAAATAAAATTTTGTGCAAGCAAAATGCTACAAAGCTACAACTAATATATCTACAATAAGGAGAGAAAACCTAAGATTTCCACTGCATTGAACAGTTTAAGATGATAAATTTATTTGCAGCCAAAAGTTTTTTTTGCGAAATTACGTGATGAATTGTGATACTTTATTTTCTATGAAATATAAAATAAGATGAAAAAAAAACGGAGATACATTTGTGGAGTTTATTTGTGATGCGAAACGATTCAGTAGATATCACATTGCCAAATCAGGTTATGTTTCAAGTGCTATCGTTCCGGCGAGTTTCTTGTGCACGAATAATTAAATTGAAATTACTCCAATAGATGCTTTGAAGTAAATGATTCTATTTTAAGAGACTAAAAAAAAATGCAAAAAGATGTAAAAGGTTATTGTATAATCTTATAACGACGAACAATGGATATCGATTTTTATTACACTCACCTGAAATCGAAGAAATTGCGTTTGCCGCGGCGATTTCGACATCGACGTCTCGACTGCGAAAATAAAAAGAGTAAAAGAGAGCCAGACTTGCCACCTTGCTAGACTCAAGAGGCAGTTGGTTGTTGCCGCCCTTGTTGGTTTGTAGTTATGCTCAAGCTGCGTTTTCATTGGCTGCGTTCAGCAGAGAAAGCAGCTTTTGCAACTGTTGCAAAATTCTTTAATATGATTGGTCTTGCCCTTACTTCCTTATTAGATCTAAATGCATAAGCCAATCATATTCAAGAATTTTACAACAGTTGCAAAGGTGCTTTTCTGCTGAACGCAGCCATTAATATTTTTTGTCCAGCAGAATAGTCCAAAGAACTATTTGAAATGCTGGACAAATTGTTCAAGTAATTGAATTTACTTTTCTTATTTAAAACATAAATAATTAAATTAGCAATAATTTGTAATAAGGCTCAATAAATTAAAAAATATTAAGAAAGAATAGGACTACGAGCCAAATGTCATCAACAGTTAAGTAAAAATTTTTCTATTTAATTAAAATATATAAAACATTGAGATGTCATTAATTTAAAATAAATTTAATATAAAAGACAAAGAACAAAAGAACAACGTTTTGACCCCTATCGGGTCATTTTCAATGTTCGAAAATAAGTAACGGTAAAGATAAAGTGATAAATTAATACAATTTTTGACATTAAAAAACATTTTCTCAATCGCAAAATATTAATTAATTAGATATATATATATTTAGATATATATATATATGTCCTATATTGTTATAGGACGCGCGGCAAGAGGGGACAAGTACGTCCCCTCGACGTCGACTAGAGTCCTAGATATCAGAGAAGCGCAACCGGCTTAAGTCAGTATCGCAAAATTACTAAAAACAGTATTAAAAATGGCGTCGTTTGCAGACGAACTATAAAATCGACCAATCGTCTATTAGTCAGCCATTTTTAGTACCACTGAATGAATGTCATGATTGGCTGACAGTCAGCTAATCAGGACGCGGAACATCGGTTGCGCTTCTCTGATATCTAGGAGTGCTTTCCAATTGATAACACAAATCGACACAAGTGTCGTTCTATCTTTGTCAATCTCTAAATGTCAAGGAAAATAGAACGATACTTGTGTCGACTTGTGTCATCAATTGGAAAGCACCCTAGAACTCTACTTCAATGGTAAAAATTTTTACCATTGAAGTTAATGGAGAAATTTTTCACTTTTCACTTTTCATCCTAGGGAAAAAGTTTCATGATCGATACCCTGAATGCGTAGCACCAAAAAAGTTCGCACTCAGTACATAAGTGCAGTCTGTCGAATTCGCCATTAGTTAAAAAGAAAAGGCCTTATCGAACATATACATTGCACATGATAAAAGTTAAAAGGGTAAATATTAATAATATTCCATATTATAGCAAGTTCTAATATGTTTTATTTTTAAATATATTCAAAAAAATAAAATTTTATTCTTTTATTTTCTATGTGTTTTGCTGTACACAAAGTTATTTAATTACAATAATAATTGCAACATAAATATTAGATCGTGATTATGGTTTTGAACACTGAATGGAGATGTACGTGGTGTATACATGTATTTTTTTTCTGATTACATATATCCCGAGTTTCAATCCATATATATATTTTTAATAGAAGCGATACAAAAATCAAAACTATTGATATATTTATTAATTAATGTGTAACACGTGTATTTAGATACACGTGAAAAGGAGATGACTATAGTAAGAAGTCGTACTTGATGAAATGATTAATTGTGGTGTTACTCTAATTAAATAGTTTTGCACAGAATCATTTTTAGTGTGCAATGTGATACGATGTAGATGACTGCATGAGTTGCTATATTTTGTAGCTATATGATTGCATACAGCCGCGCAACGATGGTATCTTTTCTATATTTTCAAATATGTGATTCGAAATAAACACGAATTAATTTTTTAGGTTTGTGGCGTTGGCGCATAGTAGCGACACCAGCGCACAATGCAACGCGATCAAGACGACGCGGTGCGGCGAAAATCTGGCCCAAATAGTGCCGAAATTGAGGGAGATCGAAGCGACAAAGAACTCGCAAAGAACTTCCGGCGTTCTTGTCATGATTAATGTTAAAAAGTGCCACTAGTTGTCGTTGCCCTCCACTGTCGGTGTCGCGCGTCAATTGGTCAACAGATGCAACAATGGCGGAAGCGACGAATCAGGGAGCTCAACTCGTCGCGGCGCGGAACCGCTGCGGCGTGACGCGGAAGTTGTCTTCTTCTCCTTTCCTTTCCTTTCTCGTAGGCTAAGCCGGCAGCACACCGGTCATTATTTAAGCCACTATCCGAGTACGAGTTGCGGATCCGTGCCACGCGTGTAGAATATCTGCCTGCAGATCGTGCTCCGATTTCGGTTTAAAACCGGGAGACGACGCACCCTAACGTAGCTGGCAGTTGGCTCCGAAGTCTAGGACACGGGCTCGCTTTGTCTATCTTGCACGAAGACGTGTTCAAGGAACGCTTGAGAAATCACGATGGCGGCAGCGGTAGATTTCCAGAATCAGCCACAGGCGGATGGTATGCAGGATCAATCAGGGCACCAACAGCCAAACGAATCTCATCATCAGAATCAGGAGCATAGTCAACAGCAACAGCACTCCTCGTCACAATCCTCGCAGCAACAGGCAACCGCCGGTATTCCTGGCAAGGACGACGAGCGGAAGCTCTTTATTGGCGGCTTGTCCCGAAATACAACCGACAAAGAGCTGCGGGATCATTTTGGCAAGTTCGGTGAAATCGAGAGCATCACAGTGAAGGTCGATCCACATACCGGCATTTCACGCGGTTTTGCATTCATGGTGTTCACCAATCCAAAGACCATCGATAAGCTTCTTGCATCAGGCGAACATTACGTCAATAAGCGAAAGGTAATAACTGGAGTAATACTACCAGGCAAGATTTACCTTGCTAATTTCAAATTTAATATCGGGAGTCACATACTGCATTTGTATAAATTTTTACAATACAGTGAACAATATAGACGATACTTTTGCCATCTCGTGTCTATCCTAATGCACTGTATACTAAACAGCATTTTTTTTTTATATATAGGTAGATCCAAAACGTGTTAGTAAAAAACCTCAACATGGTAAAATCTTTGTGGGTGGTCTTACTCCCGAGATTTCTGATGACGACATTAAGAACTACTTCAGCCAATATGGTACCATTGTTGAACTGCAGGCACCTTTCGATAAAGTTAAAAATCAGCGTAAAGGCTTTTGCTTTATCACGTTTGATTCAAAAGAAGTTGTATACAAATTATTGAAAACGCCTAAGCAAACAATTAATGGTAAGGAAGTAGACGTGAAGAAAGTCAAGGTTAATCCGGATCCAAGAAATCAGGGCTTCTGGGCGCCTGGTTACGGATATGGATATGGTGGCGGTTATGGCTACATCCCTGAATACAATGGTTATCATAACTATGATGACATGTACGCGAACTACGATTACGCTGGTTACGATGGCTACGACAATATGGGATATGGTCCCAAACCGCGAGGTAACGGTCCGGGACCGCGTCAATTTCAGAGACATCAACCTTATTGAGAGAGAATGTGAGAGAGAGAGAAAGAGAGAGAGAGAGAGAAAGAGCAAATGTGTGTATGTGTGAAAGAGTGAGAGAGAAAGAGAAAGAAAAATACATAACTGAGAGATGTATCTCTTTGTTATATTAAAACATTTGATGATTACGAGTAGAATCTTTTATTATAGGTGGGACAATATTTCGTCTACCAAACCGAGACTGAATCCGGGATTTCGAGGGGGGGAAAAAATTTTAAAAAGAAGGAAAACAAGAAAAAAACCAAAAAAACCAGAAAAGCTTAACGAGTTAATAACTTATTAAGCAAAGAAAAAGCCTCGGATCCCCGAATTTAGTACGTTATGAAGGAAGCTTGCGCAAGTAATGGAAATTAACAAAAACAATGGAAGATAACAACTAAGAATAACAATATTAATATCTTCGTTTAACAAATGTTGAGCAAAAAGTCAATCGTTTTCCAAAACCAGTGCTTCATAATTGAGAATTGTAACGATCGACTGCAATTATATTTTTCTCTCCATAGTATCTCCAATTTTAAACACTGATTAACTTAATTGGCAATTAACAAATTTGAACAAACTTGCTGAGCAAGATTCCTAAAGTCAAATCAGATTAAGGAAACGAGTACGCTCGTTAAAAGAGTTCAATGACCCCATTTTTTGACTACTCTGTACATTGAAGATGTGTGAAGTAATTGCATATAAATGCGATGTAATTGTAACAGATATGTTGCCTCTTTATACTATGTTATACTTTTTGCGCTCCAAAAGTGAAAATAAGTGTACACTGAGTATATTCTATTTGACGTTCACAACCATAGACATAGTTCGTTTAAAAATGATGCTTGCGAGCATTATTTTATTTTTGTTTAATTAAATCAGGATGAATTGATGCTTGCAAGCGTTGAAAACGCCAGATGGAATGTGCCCAATGTATGTGCGTGATGTATATGAATATGAAAGAGAAGAAAGAGAATGAGTGATTTCTCTCTCGGGAGGTTAGAAAGGACAAACCTTTAGATAGGTAGATATTGATAAGATATCCATTAATTACCATGTCCAAAATCGTGCTTTTTATCGTCTCGATGATTTTTTTATCGCGCAAAGAATGCTTTACATATACAACCTTACAATACAAAAAACATAAAATAGCATGAAACTTTTTCTTGCATAAAACTTTAGTGGCAATTATAATACTTTAACTCCACTCGATGAACTTGTCTCTCTTTGTACGAGCAACGTTTGTATAAAAATAGTTCAACAGAAATGTGTAAAGGTCTGTGGTAGAAGTCTGTAGTTTCCAATCACGTGAAAGAACATACACCAACGAACGAATTTGTTTTATCAACAGTGTCAGAGTCAAACATTTACTCAGTACAGTGAATATCAATTAATATGATGCGATTGTATATTAAGAAGGCGAGAAAAGTTTTGTCGCAAGTATTGAAATATGATTTGATCTAGGATCACCTATTTGTCTTGTATTTCTAATTTACTATTAATATATCCATTACATTGGGTTATCCAGAAAGTTTGTCATATTTTTAAAAGTATTCACTAGAAGATCTAACAAATTTTGAACAAATAAATCAAAATTTCTTAGAGGCTGAAATAGAAGTAGTATAACTGAATAAAAATATGTAACGTACATATATAAACGTCAATATCTATATATATGTTCACAAATTTTTTGAAAAATCGGCATAAACTTTTCGGAAAATCCAATATTTTTATTATCCTATTTTAACAATTTATTTATATATTAAAATTTGGAGTTTCAATATTCAAATTATTATTTCTTTTTTTTAGCTTGCAGTTATATCTCAGACTAAGCTTATAATTTAATGTGTGTATTAATTCAATTTGTTAAACACAATCTTAATTTTTGCAATCGTCTAATTATAAACAGAAGATTTAATTTTGTGAAAGAAAATAGAGGCTGATCCGAGTTTAATGTGGTTATTGGTCGAATATCGACAAATTCGTATTATGTTATACCACCGATTCATAGTTGTGTGAAACTATTCTCGTAATATAATAATATTTTCGTACAATCATACAATAGTATGTATATAACTTCTTCAACCTTGAAAATATGTGTTGAGTATTATGATCAGTACTCAGGACTGGATATGTATTGTAGGAAACGTTATAAATGAGCATAACTCTGAAGGAGTGCGAAAGTTCTTTTAGAAAGAACGTGCTACACAACTCTATGTCAGGATCTATGATGATAGGCAACATGTTTTTGACTCAATTAGATAGCTTTGAGATACAACTCAAAGGGTTAAATCAGACTGAATTGGGTCTTTTCTTATGTTTTTGTTACAAACATTTTTTCGTAGCAACCCGTTTTTTGTCACATTGGTATGGTAACCTATCATAAAGTGATGATGCTCCAATCTTGATGCAGAACGTGAAAATAAACTCTATAAGGAATTTAACTTTAATGTCTTACAGTATTTGAAGTATTTCTATTTTTGAAAAATGGTATTTGTAAGATATAGTTGTATCTTGCACTTTGTATTTCAGCGGAGCACATGAAAATATGTTCTACATTTCATGGAAGTATATAAAAGTATTTTGTATTTAAAATATATAAGATATGCAATTAATCTTATTATTTAAATTACAAAATCAAATTTTCAATTTTAAATATAAAATACGTAGTATTTTCATATGCATCACTGAAATATAAAATATAAAAAATACATTTTTATTGCAAAAACTGTTTTAAATAAAATTTTTTTCAAATACATATCCAGGCCCTATCAGTATTATTTTAAATTTATTAACTTTCGAATAATACAGGATAGGATATTAGAGGGAGAGAAGCACGTTTCTGTAATGAAAGAACAACAAACAATTGTACTGATTCATTATCGTGCATTATTGTGCATTAAATATCATTGAACGTCAGTCTTTATCTAGAAAAACATTCGCATTCTAATAAATAATAAAATTAATATCGCGAGCTAAGTCCGTATTTTGACAATCTCGCACGATTTCCTGATAGTATAATAATTACTGTTGATATGTATTTTCTTATTTTTAAAGGACACTATTAAAATTTTTTGTTAGATTAACATATAGCATTAATTTGTGCGCCAGTAATCGCTCGGATTAGCCTATTTCTTTTCTGCTATAAATATGTAATTCCGCTTAGGAATTTAGTTGGTATCTGACCACTCAGACGACAAAAAGTGTCTAAAATCAGATCATAAGACGTTTTTTGCGTCTAAAAGACGACTTAAAATATTCATATAGTCGGTTTTTATTTTAAGACTGTTTTAAGGAATGTCTTAAGACGTGTGACCCTTTGATTGGTTCATCTTAACACCTCAACAGTGAACTTAAAACAGTCTTGAATATAAGAATTGACTGTAAATACCGACCTTTGTGTTGTTTGGGCTGGCTCCTGAGAGGCAAAGAAAGAGGTTTAACTTAGAAGATAAAAAGATGGATATCTATGTGTGAGCGATAACTATGGAAAATACATCTTTCGAGATTGGATAAAATGACAATTACATTTATAGTATACTCATGAATCATAATGATTGCAAAAAAGGTATCGTACATCATTTGAAATAAATCATCAATTTTTGAGCGCGTTAAAGCGCCTTTTTCAAGCTTTGCGATTAAAATCGCAAATTATCTAAAGTATTTGGTCTTTTTTTCACCACGTTCACGTTTTCTTCACAATCATAAGCTCTCGCTTTATTGAGAAGGAAAAAAAAGGAGTGGTTGTTATTTCAAGGACCAAGGCCTTAGATCAAAATCTATTTCTTTTTTTCTTGTGCTTAACTCATAATTAGTATCTAATGTTGATACATAACATATAATGTAATCTATATCCTTATAAGATTAGTAATCTAATAATAACTTATAGTTACTATCGAGATTGGAAAAAATTATATACATATTGTATGTGTGCATGCGTGTATGCATGGTATGCGTGCACGCATGTCCACACATGTGTATATGTATGTGTGTTTACAATAGATATGAAACACGTCAAGGTGCGAAAAACATTTAGACAAAAAAATTTAAAAAAAATTATATAATTAAAATATGAACGTCCTGGGTATACACGTGAAGTTCTCGCGAGCGACGAATCCAATTGAACTTCCTGCTGTCGACGAAATAGCACATCTAGTAGTAACGAGGAAAACAGAGAATCTTGCGGTATAATCATAGTTTACACAATATTTAGCGCAGCATCGTGTCATACTATCGATATCTTATGAATGTATCATAAAATGTATATCACCATAGCTGATTGTCCGGCAATCTATCTTTAATAATGTAAGATGGATAAAACCTATCTGAAACAAAGTTCTATTATTTGCGTGTTGTCTGTGTACGGTCTGCGTGTCTTGGTCTGTACGAACAAAAAAAAAAAGAAAATAAGATAGGAAATAGACATATATGAAGATAATCACCGCTAGAGATTGATAATAAGCTCAGCTTTGTGTGACAAAGGCTTCCCTAAGTTATTTAGGTAACCAGGATCTCTAGTCTTGAAAAGAAAAGTATACGAAAAACTAATATGAACATCCTAGATATACATGTAAAATTCGAGATTTCAACCAAAATTCCTTCTATCGATGAAATAATACTTCTACTAGTAACAAGGAAAAGGAAAAAAGTATGCTATAGTATTTCCCCACTTTTTCATATATGTTTCTTTTCAAGAATAAGGGACCTAGAATGTTTAAGGCGTGAAACAAACGGGGATGACACACGAATTTAATGTTTCTTTCACATTTCTATCGAGCAGCAGTTCCTGTTCGCTGTATAAAAACTGCTCTTCATATCGCGAAAAGACTGTTAATACAAGTGATGATACAGGCACTAGAAAATCTTCACAATTAATAGAACTTGCAGTTTCGACCACGAAATTGAAAAAATTAACTAACATAATTGTAAAGAATGTAGATAAGACAATGGGACTACATTTACAATGAGATTTAGATACATCGAAATTATATTGTAACAAGGCTGTAGAAGCTACATTCAAAAAAAAAAGAAAAAAGTCTTTTCTCAGACGTCGAAAGGCATCAACGGTTTGGCTTAACTCTCCATAGAGTTAAAGTTTAACGCGAGTGGATGCATCCACTTGAGAGGATCTCCAAGTCAAGCTAATGTCTTTGAAATTAAATCTGTATACTGTGTATACCATATTTGCTGCGTGCGAAAATATATATTGAAAACAGACGAGAGGTAGATTAGAGAAAGAGAGAGAGAGAGAGAGAAAGAGAGAGAGAGAGAGAGAGAGAGAGAGAAATTAAATGGAAACGATACAAATATTTTGTTACTATTAATTACTATTCGCCTGTTTCACCCATGACACAGTGTATATTTTAATTATAGCAAAAAAAAAATAAAAATGCCCATTATTTCAATTGTTCCTTGTGGCATTTATAATATACAATATATACAATATATGCAAAAAGTTTATTTGTTCTTTGTTAATATCTGTTCGTTCTCTGTAAATTCTGTTCATGTTTCAAGCTTATTTCTTTTTAAAAAAAATTAAGAATTTGGAAACTGCATTTTTGGTTTTATATATAAGATATGTGTGTATATGTATATATATAAATATATATATGTATATATATATAATGTAATGTATATACATATTACATTATGTTATAATTTATAATATATTTGTATAATATACGAGTACAGGGTGTCCGTCCAGAAATGTCCGAGCAAATATTTCGTAACTGATTGAAATTATAAGAAAGTTTAATAAGAGAAATTTGTACGACTCCGAGTCAGCTACAAAGTGTACGTAAAAAATTTTTTTCTACTCGTGACTTTTTCGAGTTATATAGGTTAACATAGTTTTCTTAAATATATATCTATAATTTTTTTGCATATTTGTATAGTAGGGAGCATTTGCAATCAAAATCATATATAGTAAAAAATTGTTACTATACATCGTTTATGAAATAATCAACATTAAGTATCAAAGTAGTAAATTGGATTTTAAGTAATTTTGAACATGGTTTGAAATGTCAAATAGAAGTTGAAGAAGAAAACAATGTTTTTTTATAGAACATTTAATTACATTATAAATTACTCGATATATGTACTCATTGAAAAGACTGACTGATTAACAAATACTGCACTGAATTCATACTCCATGCTACAAATACTTTATTTACAAAACAAGCAGTCGCGTATTTTGATGAGTTGAAGGTCAGTGATCCTGTTCGACATAATCGACTTCAAAATATTAGTTTGAATCTTGTTTTTCAAATTGTGATATGGAAAATCAACTTCTTTAGATTTAATACTTGAGATATCGATTATCTCGTAAACGATGCATAGTAGTAACTTTTTTATTATATATGATTTTGATTGCAAATGCTCCCTACTATACAAACATGCAAAAAAGTTACAGATACTCATTAAAAAAAAAATATGTTAATCTACCTAACTCGAAAAATCCACGAGTAGAAAACAATTTTTTACGTGCACTTTGTAGTTGACGTGAAGTCGTACATGCAAATTTTTCTTATTAAACTTTCTTATAACTTTAATCAGTTGCGAGGACATTTATAGACGGACCCTATATATAACACATAGGATTGCTTAATTTTATGTTGGAACCAGATTTCAGAAAGGCTTGGGACAATAAAAACTTAATAAGAATTTTATAATCTGTGTTTAATTTATTTTTTATTTTTTTTAAATTCTAATAATTAAAAAAGATAGAAAGTAAATTAAACTGAGATTAAAGTTAATTTACATTGGTCGTTATATTTAAATTTGATTTCCTATACCTATTAATGTTCAATTGTATTCATTTTTAATTTTCTATCTTCTCTATTCAATTTTATATATACAAATATAATTTCACGTTATTTTACTTGACAAATAAATACGATCAAATAAACTTTTTGTACAAATCCAATACTCTTTTTCATTGTCTGGCGAGTGTAAAGGCCATGGCATACAAAAAACTTAAAGCAGTAACGTAAGCAGTAAGGAAATGAAGGTTGTGGATTTGTTACTGCTTAAGTTATGGCCTTACGGCCTCTACTGTGATTGGTCAATTCGCTTACTGCTAAGTCTTACTGTCTTAAGTTTTTTTGTGTGCCAAGCCTTAAGAGGGGACTACGGATGACATTAACGGCCCTCTCGACAGATGCCGCTGCGCAATCCTCGTGGTGCCCTTCGGCATCGCTTGGCATGTCGGTTTTCAATATCCCGGTACTCCCGGTAGTGCACAGTAGTGCACAAGCGGCGCTGATCCGTTGTTGGTGTGTGAATGTGTAACAGCTGTATAGCTGATCGAGTTCGTTGCGTTTTTGGTACGGCTGTTCTCGTGCGGAGACCAAGCGACCGGAGGCGTCTTCTGTGAGCGAAGGTGGAAGGATCGTCGCGGACGAATAGAGCTAACGAGGGAGTGAAGAAGAGAAAGCGTGATTCCGAAGCGCGGCTGCTATGCCTCACCCACGATCGGCACAGGTGTCGTCAAGATCAGTCACGCTGCTCCGACGATCGCGGAGATTCGAGATGTAGCCCTTCTTCCTCTCCTCCACCCACCTACTCCCGCTGCTCCAGTGCTCCTGCTTCTTGCCCTGCCGAGGAAAATACACACACACGCACATACACACTTTATCTTTCTTTATTCTCTCTATCTCTTTCTTCTTCGTATTGTCATCGCAATACCCTGGTCACATCGATGCGTCGTCACGCAACGTCGACGAGCTCTCTTGCAACAACGCTCACGGATCTTAACCACCGCGTCGAGTCAACCGTGACTACGTCGCGCTCCTCATCGTCAGCCTCATCGTCATCGTTCACGTCATCGCTGTTTCTCACAACAAGTGCCTTCTCTCGACTCCTGTCGTTCGTACCTTCCGGTCGCAGGGGAGGCGGCGTGTACGTTTCACCTGCCCCGACGGTGAACACGACGACGGTCTTACCGAGCGCATCTTTATCTAATCCTGCCCTACCTGTGCATCTTGGTAAGTGGACAGTCTTCAACGCGATGCTGCCGAAGAGACAAAACACCTGTATAAGATAGTGACAAGGGAAAAGAAGCAACTTTTCTATATAGGGGAACCACCACAGGTTCCAGTTCGTTGTATCTCGGTTGCTGTTGAAAATGATCTCGCAGTACGTTCCAGGTTGAATTTTTTATTCAAGCGAGTTTTAAATTAACGAGCGATGTACTCGCATCAAAAGCTGACCTTACAACTCTGCAATATTAGAAAGTGTTGAATTGACTGAAAATCACTGTTCTTATCTTCTAATGCTTGCTTCTACTAATATAGATTAAGTTGGATCTTGATTCAACTTACTCTTAATTTTTTTCTAATTATTAAAACTGGAACAAGATGAAGAGTTACTTGAAGATTAAAATTAAATTATATTGGTAGAAACAAGCATGAAATTGTCAAAAACTATAAAAATAATACTCGACTGTTTTTCTTTCAATCTTTCATGGATTTACGGAGAGAGATGATTTAATTTTTATCAATAGATTTCAACATACTTAATAATTGATGCTGAAAAACTAAGAGATCATTATTAAAATTATTTAATAATTTGTTTCTCAAAGATAGATCAATTTTTTTTTATCAAAGTTAGTCCATCGTTCATGGATTGAGAATTAGATAATAACGTCGAGTGTATATCTTTATTCTCAAAACCGCAATAAGGAGCTGCTTATCTACAAAATCGAAAAATTTCCGAGTCAGCAGATATTTTTACAGTGCGTAAATAAAAAAAAAACGCGTGTTATAATCGCATGACTTAACATTGCACAATGCATCGTCGACTATCGTCAATTGTTTGCGCCCTAGATACGTGCAATTGTTGCGTGTCGTTGGACGCATGTATTTAAAAAAGTGACAGTACTTACGTCGTGTTAAAACCTACGTGATATTTTTATCGAGCGGAGACGTGGCAACCTCATTGAAATCGCATAACCTAATTGAAAATATTGTGAAATTGATAATTACAGTGACACGGCAAAACTGCCGAAGATTCAGATTGCAATTAACATTTTTTTTCTAACCGGAATGCGGTGATCTTTGGTGAAATCGTGTAGTTTAACCAACGATCTAAGTGACAGCAACAAGCTAAATCGTTCACTGATTCGTATATTTTCATCTTATGTATAATTTACTGTAATTATTTAAATCGGTAGATATTAGCATTATATATTGTACATATAGATACCATTAGTGATGCTAATAATATAATGGTATATTTATAAGTTAGTTGATTTAAAGATTTTATAATTAGCCTTATATATACTCATTGAACAGGTTCATTAAATCTAAAATAATTTTCCACTATCTGTATTCATATAGAGAAAAATTCTACACCGTTATTTCAAATACATTTTTTTTTCTTAGCTAAACATAAATCCTAAGTTGTTTCAGAATTTATATTTATCTGAAAAAACAGAATACATTTGAAAGAATGGCCTAGAATTTTTCTTTGTGAATACAGATAAAAAATTAGTTTAAGTCTAATGGATTTGATTTTATAACGGTTACTAAGATAAAAAAAAGCGACAGTTAGCACCAATAGAGTTTAACGTTCATCATTTAAATACTTAACTCGTAAAATATTTTGAATATTTTAAATTTTAATCCTTAGATCAAATTATATTAATGAAATTATTCGGAAATTATTTTATATTTTTTTTTATTACAGTAACAGAACAATAAAAATAACATTGTGTTTGTATATAGTTATATGAGACTAATCATATCTCAGTTTAATAAGGCTGGATTATATATAAGATTCGTATTTTTCAACATAGAAATTTATTATTGTTAAATTGTTTATATTTGACAATTTAAAAATATCGAAGAAAAAATTGTTTCACTTATATAGGATGTACATCCATAAAAAAAGTTAAAAGAACAATATAGTCATATATCTGTCCTTTAGATGTGTATGGATATCCCTAGCAAAAAAGAGAGAAAACACATGTGCACACTAGTGCAGCACACGTGTAACTTGGTTTCTATAGCCATCAATAGCCATTTATAGCATGCGAATACTCAGGGATTAAGTAAAATATCGATATCTTATGTTTTGTGAATATTGTGATTTTGTAGAGAGGTGAATCAACTGGTTAAAACAAAGATGCATTGCTGAAAAACAGCGCGAAAAACAAAGAGAGATTGCATTCGAGTGGCGATCCTCGATACATAACCTAAAAGGCAAAATGTCCCAACTAAACATCAACACTGGTAAGCGAGGGAGAGGAGTCGCAAGTACCTCTGCGTCGTCCGTATCCGCCATGAGCAGCTCCACCGATTTGGCAAGCCTTTTCGAGTGTCCTGTATGTTTCGACTACGTGCTTCCACCTATTCTGCAATGTCAGAGTGGACATCTAGTTTGCACAAATTGCAGACCGAAGCTTTCCTGTTGCCCCACATGCAGGGGTCCATTGGGTATGTGAAAATAAAACATTCTCTTGTTTTTATTACTGAGAGACCTAACAAACATTTGGCTAATGTGTGTGCAGGTAACATCCGTAATTTGGCTATGGAAAAGGTAGCAAGTAATGTTATGTTTCCTTGCAAATACTCCACTAGTGGTTGTACAGTTTCACTGGTACATACGGAAAAGGCAGATCATGAAGATGCATGTGAGTTCCGTCCATACAGCTGTCCATGTCCAGGTGCATCTTGCAAATGGCAAGGATCACTGGAGCAAGTGATGCCACATCTTATTATGAGTCACAAAAGCATTACAACTTTACAAGGTAATAAATCTGTGCTGTCTGTGATATCTTGATTGTAAACTCCTAACACAATGCCTTTGTTGAATGTTCTCTAGGTGAAGACATAGTTTTTTTGGCAACTGATATTAACCTCCCTGGAGCTGTGGATTGGGTCATGATGCAATCTTGTTTTGGTCACCACTTCATGTTGGTGCTTGAGAAACAGGAAAAATATGATGGGCATCAACAATTTTTCGCAATTGTACAATTGATTGGCTCCAGAAAGCAAGCAGAGAACTTTGCTTACAGGTAATTATAATTTATGTAATTTATTTAAAACTATTTAATATCTAATAAAATGCAATAGATTCAATATTTTTGTCTCTCGCATAAATGTTTTTTAATTAAACTATCGTATCCAACAGACTAGAATTAAATGGACACAGAAGACGTCTCACATGGGAAGCAATGCCTCGTTCTATTCATGAGGGTGTATCGTCCGCGATTTTAAATTCTGACTGCCTTGTATTTGACACCTCAATAGCACAGCTGTTTGCTGACAATGGAAACTTAGGAATTAACGTTACGATTTCTATGGCCTGAGGAAAGCCAGAAAAAGCAGTGTAAAAAGAAGAAATAACATCGGACATACCGAGCAGTCCTGGGATGATTGGTGCGGTAAAGTATTCGAATGGGACTGCTCGCTATGTGCATCGAGGACAGTTCTTTTTATGTTACCAAATGGATATTAGCAATACAGAGACATTAGGGAATGTTGTTTCGAGTATATTGACGATATGCAGCATGTGGATGCTCAGTATAGGACTGTCGTTGAAAAGCTTTAAAGTATACTTGGATGTGATTGATATATCACGAAGATAAATATAATAAACATCTTTTCGATATATCCATGCTGTGACTTTGGAGCTTTGATGCTGAGCACGATATCGTTTTCCGAGAAAAAGAAAGTACCTGATATCCGCGCTATTGTCATATTACTCTTACTCATTTCACATCGAGCTTTCATTCATATCTCTCTGGGAAGATACAACATATTGGATTCTACTGACATCTTTGTACTTTTAATACTTTTCTGGACTTAGTACGGCGAATATTACGAAGCAAACTTCAAGTTTGCTATGAATATTGTCTGTGCTATGAATGTAACTAGTGTATCTAATTTTCCGCCTACATTTTATACTATTATTTTTATTTATTAAATTTACTGTCGATTTTCTAAAATATGTCATACTTTCGTTCTTCGTATATTTTATCAAAGGATCTGTATGTATGTATTTTGTATATAACGCGATCCGGCTTTTGTAATTAGCACGGACGCAATTGCAACTGTTTTGTTATTTTGCATTATAATGATGCATACGATATCGTGCTTTTTGTGATTTTTACGCAAATAGCAGTGAAAGGCAGATCAGTTTTTCACGATCTAGTCTAAATATTGAAACAAGATACTAATATTTTTACAACAGTTATATTGAGGTGCGTTCTGAAATGTACTAATAGCATTGAATAATTATATAGCACACTTGAATTATAGATTTTCAGAGTTGTGAGTACATTTCGGGATGTATTCACGATATGGAGCAATGTTCAATTGCAGCAAAGTTCCTGTAAGCAAGATGAAAAGGAAGTTTGAAAATGACTGAAGCAATGATACATTAAAATATAAAAGGAATGTTTTATACAATTTAAGTGTTAATGTACTTTGCAGTATTCTCTTTTTCTTTTGCAAATATTAACGTCAAATGTCATTTACTCTTAAATAAAATTTATTTTATTAATGCAGAAGAAAAGAAATTGTGTATCATGTTCAATATCTATCGAATTAATTCTTTTAACAAATGTCTTTTTTAATAACTAAATCATATTTACTTAGAGTGTTATTACAATAGATAACTCATTCTCGCAATAAGATTTTCTCATAAAGCTATAAAAATTTTCTTTATTTTTGTGATTTATGCTTCTCAAAATGCATTCAGATTCTTCCTTTATATTGTTATATCATGTAATAATGTATAAGTTTTAAAAAGCAATGAAATATTTAATAAAAGCAGAGCATTGAACCGAATTGCATTACTAAGAAAAAGTTCAATAAGTTGAAATTAATATTTTAATGTAGAAAAGCATTAAAATAAGAAAGGAGGTACGGAAAATATTGTTTCTTTTGGAGGAACAATTTAGACTGAAATGTAATTATATGAGATGAGAGTAGACTTAAGTTATAATGATTAATTATATATTTTTCATAAATTGTGAAAACTTGCACAAATTTTACTTTGCTAAGTAATTCGTATTGATGACACGGCCTTATTAAAGGCTTCTCATAAAGTTGGATTAATACCACTACATTCTATATCATCAGCAATTACTTGTGAATTATTGATCGGTTTAATGCCCTGTAACAGAGTTGTAAAAGAGAGAAGATTTCACGAGGTATAGGCGGAAACACTGTTACTGTAAATAAGAAAACTTATTATGTGATATAATTAGTATTAGTAAAGTAAATCACGACATGCCGATATTCACGATGTTGGAAATAACTCGAGGGAACCAAGTGCACGGTGTACGCGCACATCGTAAAATGATTTTGTGTACTACCTTGCAATTATATTTACACACGTCTATCAGGCAGATATTTAATCTTAACGAATTCACATTGAGAAACGAGCGTTCTTGGCGGTTATAAAAAAAAAACAGGAGAGAAAACAAGATCAAGCCCGTGAGTATTAACGTTAATTGTTACACCCTGTATCGAGACTTTAGAGAGCATCTTTCCAGATTGTTAGCGTGAAGCGTAACTTGACAAATATCGGTCGAGATTGCGAAAACCAGTGCACTCATCATATTGAGATCACGATGCGATTGGTATTCTGTATAGAATCATCGTGTGATATAGGGAAGAATTGTAAATATACATGCTAGATTTTTATCTCTGAAAATACGACACTGGTCAGGGACCTAATAATTTATGTTTCGAGGAAACGCATCACGACGTTGTTAAGTATCTTGTACATATGATATAAGATAAACGATATAGCATAATTCTTATCCTTTAATCAAGTAGTAATTTATTCTCTAGCATTCGCGCGATAGCTGTTTCATTGAACATAATCATGGAAAAAGACATTTTACGTTTGATTCTCCTGACAAACTTACCTATTGTTTCGCTTGTATTGCAGAGAACGATTATGTAACATAATAACATAATATTCTTAAAAAGGGAAAAAAAGGAAAAATTGATTCGTTACGTTATGAATTGAATGAGATATAAAAGGGCTAGTGAGCGAGAATATGTAAAACGTGGAATTCTTTGACAACTTTGCTGTCGTATAATGATATATATTTTTTACAGTATATAACTTCCCCTTTTCACTCTTGAAATACGTTGAAATTACCGGAATGCTGGGAATCGTTGATTTTATCGGAACTTAGTTATTCATCTGCTGTTTCAGTTACAAGAGGCGAGGAATGTAATTGTACTGTGCGTATACTTGGTGTATGCCCGATATATCCTGGATAAATCGAGCGAATGAGAACAAGAGGTTTCCCAGTTTTTGACGACACAATTTACGAAATCACGAATGAATCGTTGTGTCGATCGGCGAGTTCACGACAGGTTCTTTGTATTCTACTACGAGATGTTTAGTGGAGAAGCCGGCGGTGCTCGTCTATTCGCAGAATAGTATAATTGTCGAGAGAATAGCTTTATTTAAATATAATGTATATACTTATATATGCATTTATAGAATCTACAAAATGTTCAAGCCATGTATAAAAAGCATGAATAAATTTTTTTTATAGATACTTTTCTATCATTGTTGTCACCGTTTTCTTAATTTTTATTTTAATTTTTAAAACCGCTTTTCTTACTATATGTCACAAATATAAATAAAAGCTTAATATAATTAAACAATCTAGAAAATTAACATAATTTATTAAATTATAATATTTTAAATTATTATAGTTTTATCTTTTAATCATCAATTTCATTCATATTTAGAAATTCTTGCAGGTTTAATGAAGAAAGATTGAAAGATTAAATAATTTTAGCAACATACGATAATTTTGATTAAATGAACAAATAAAATTAATGAAATAAAGAACAATTATTAAGCGTGGTTTGTGAAATTCATAATGTTTTATATAGACAATTATCGTTCCAATATGCATTTCATAAATTAGCTCGATTTATTTGAACAATAAGAATTTTATTTACAGTACATTTGAAAAGTCAACAAATAAAAAATAGGAAATACATAACGGTCGAATTAAATAATTTAATGTGAATTAAACACATATATATATATATATGTATATGTGTAATTGCATGATAGTGTATAGTCATTTAAATTGCGAAATTTTTCCGAGCTTAAAAACGTAGTTAAACTATTGAAATAATGTCACAAATAAATTTTAATGCTCAATATAGACATCTAGTAAAGAGATTTTAATATGATAGAAATCTGTAAAAAATAAATACATGCAAAAGTACATATGTATATAATATATGTATAGATACATAATTCACATTGAAATATTTAAAACATTAAAAATCCAGACTGGATCTTTAATTTTTATTTGTTATAGTTTATTTGGTTTTTTCATCTTGCATCGGCTGATGAAGATTGTTCCATGTGCTTCTTGCACAAAGCGTATTTGAAGGAACCGGACCGAACTGACCGAAGTAGACCGAACATGTGACGCCGAGCGTTGTACGTATGGCGCCGCATGCACATGACGACAATTAAGTTTGGTTATGCTCCTTCTCGAATTCACACTCTACTTAATTGTTCATTTTAGTTTCCTCCACGAATTGATCGGTGAAAATGAAACTCCCAAAATCGTTTATCTACACTTCTGTGATAGCAACTACCGTCGGCGCGGCGTATCTGACGAAGTATAGCGTTGCTCGAAAGTTATTCCAAGATTTTACATAAAAAGTCAATTAATTTTTTCCTTTACGTTCGCTTTCTATTTTAAAATGTTTAATATCAGTAAATATGTGTTTATATATGTTGTATAAATCTGAACAAAATCATTTATATAGCTGCATAATCTTTTTTAATATACACATATAAATTTTTTCATTGATACGAACAATGTAAATGTTAAATGAGACAGAAATTTGTACTTTTTCATTGCTTTATAACATAAATAGTAAAAGTGATCATGTCAAATTTGCAGGGACCATATGGGAGGTCCGAAATATGAAGGAAAAGAGGATCTAGTCGACAAGGTAGTCATTGTGACAGGAGCCAATTCTGGTATTGGGAAGGAGACAGTCCTAGAATTAGCCAAACGCAATGCAAGAGTTATCATGGCATGTAGGGACATGGAAAAATGTGAAATGGTACTTATATCGTTGTTAGTATTTATTCAATTTACAAATAAATTAAAAAATTAAATAGAAAACGTTACTGCAATAAGATATTACATTTAAGTCAATCTTCTAGTCTCTCTTGTGTGCTATCATTTTAAATAACTTTTCATCGTATTCTTGCAGGAACGCCGAAATATTGTACTTGACACAAAGAACAAATATGTTTATTGTAGGAAGTGTGATTTAGCATCACAAGAAAGTATTAGAAACTTTGTTACACAATTTAAAAAAGGTGATTAATATAAGTATACAGAGAGAATTTTTTTTGATAGAAATTTTTTTGTTTTTATTCGAATGTCTATTTTATTTTGTTTATATAGAATATGATAAACTTCACATACTTATTAATAATGCCGGCGTGATGAGATGCCCAAAGAGTTACACTAAAGAAGGCATCGAGATGCAGCTAGGAGTTAATCACATGGGACACTTCTTGCTCACGAATTTGCTTCTAGACGTTTTGAAAACATCTGCACCATCCAGAATTGTAAATTTGTCCAGCGCCGCTTATCGTACTGGTCAAATAAATATGCAGGATTTGAATTGGGATAATGATTATGATGCTGGTAGAGCATACAGTCAAAGTAAATTAGCTATAATACTTTTTACTCGGGAATTGGCAAGCAAATTGAAAGGTAATTTTATATAGAATTAAATTAAAACAAAATATTAAAATATTAAATAATATTTTTCGTAATGAAAAATTAATTATTTACAGTTTTTAATAGGTTATTCAACATTATCAAGATCAATATAAGATGCATAAACACTATGAATAATCGTTAAATCAATTTGACTCATGATAATTACTGCGGTAGTTTATTAGTGTTGCGTTTCTGAAAAAAATTTGGCGTGCAATTGAAGAATTACATACGTAGTATATAAATTTACACATAATTATTTTTTGAAGCATCTGTGATACAATTTAGATTGCTGCAGCATTTTCATTTGGTTTGAATTCTAGCAGTCCAATAAGAATTTATATGTATAATTTAATATAATTGTAAAATTTTTTTCTCGTTTTTTCAAATAATTACTGAAGCATATTTATTTTTCAGGTACTAATGTTATCGTGAATGCTGTCCATCCTGGTATAGTTGATACAAACATAACGCGACATATGTTTGTATACAATAACTTTTTCACACGAATATTTTTGAAGCCAATTGCTTGGCCATTTATTAAAGCACCTCGGCATGGAGTTCAATCTGTTTTGTATGCAGCATTAGATCCTAGTCTTACAAATGCTTCTGGATGTTATTTAGAGTAAGTACCATAAAAAAATTAAAAAATGTTAAATGTTATAAATATAGTATTAATGTTATTGTTATATTTACAGCAATTGCAAACCTAAAGAATTATCAGAGGAAATAAAGAATGATGACCTAGCTAAATGGTTATGGAAAGTTAGTGAAAAGTGGACAAAATTAAATGTTACATAGATATACACTAGAAATATACAGTTGTAACTTGTTTTGAAATATAATATTAGTCTTTGGTAATTATATGTTCTTAAAATTCCTTTCACATTTAGAAAATATTTTAATTTATATTAATGCTAGCAGAGTAACTTTATACTAGTAGTTATCTCATGCAACAGAAAAGGCCTCGTTTTTTAGTCTAGACTCTAGAGACTATAATAAGAGTTGATTACGACATAAGACCCATAGGTGTTTTTGTCAAAACCTCGTCAGAGAGAAAAGTATACATTTGCACTCTTTCTCTTTAAACTAACCTCTTCTGAAACGCTCATACCGCTCACGCATGTTTACTACTATTGTAGGGAGGTCTGTTCTTTTATTCCTGCACCGTTTGACCTGTATAATAAGTTGAAGCGAAACAAACGTATATTTGTTTCACTTTAACTTATTACACCGTGTGCACCAGTTTAGATAATGCAGGAATAAAGAACAGACTTAGGATTTCTAGTGCTTCTCAAACAAAACGCTGTCAGATTTCTCTCTGCTTGTTACTGCTTGTGGTTAATTTAAAACAGAGTAAAACAGAGTCTAAAGTAAATAAATAAATTTAAGAAGCGTTTGTTGAAACGAGTAAGTAACAGTTTGCATGTTAAATTTACACACATCCTAATATATAATATCAATTTTAATTATTGATTAAAATAGTATCGTGTTATAGAATTGATCATTGATGTATCATCACGATGACACATTTATGGAAATCAGCAGACAAAAGCATCCAAAAGAGAGTGCTACAGCCGGGTATTTTTACCAAGAAACCAACTGAATGCTCCACTTGTACTATTAATGTAGAGAACATAAACGTTACTGGAATGTCTGAAATGGATTTAAAAGTGAAATATCATACCAATATTCTTGATGGCGAGCCAGAGAAGACGATGGTTATAGGAGAAGCTAGCTCAAAAATTGATGAAAAAATCGAGAGAGTGATTTGCATGATGAATATCAATGAGAGGAGTCTCGTTATCATTGCCATGCCTTTAAAGCAATCAGAATCTATAGATAATAATGAATCTGTAATAGTTCAGTTTGAGATCACATTGTCCCTTTGTAAACGCTATAAACCAGTTTGGAATTGGAGTGCAGAAGAAAAGTATCAAGTAGCTTCAAGATATAAAGAAAAAGGAACCGTGTTGTTTAAGGACTCCCGAATCATAGATGCATTCCGTAGGTTCAGCAAAGCTTGCAAACTTCTCATAACATTGGAGCCAATAGCAGACTTAGAATTAAATAAGCAGTTGGAGTATAATATTAATAATTTAAAACTTGCATTATATAATAACATGGCAATATGTCAACTGAAGCAAAAGAACTATCAACACGTCGTTACACTGTGCACAAAAGTGTTGAATAAAGATAAGAATAACGTTAAGGCTTTGTATAGAAGAGGAGTAGCATATGGTAATATAGGAGACAACGAAAAAGCTATAGCAGATTTGAAGGTGATACTTACTTTAGAACCTACTAATCACTCGGCGAAAGAACAATTTGATGTGTACAACACCAGATTGCAACTATCGCTTCAGAGAAATAAAGATATGATGAGGAGAATGTTTAAAACTTATTAGAATATTTTTCAATGTTTTGTATAATTGTACATATAAATTTATTTCTTAAAAAAATAAAATATATACTTTATAAACAGAAAAATAAGATTTTTATTTCTTTTTGTGATAACTTATACTCAATTGTTTTAATGTTACTATCACCATTGTTATTACATTATTATATTATGTAATAGATTTGTTTTCTGTGGCTGAACTAGTGCACACTTTAAAAGCTTAAAGTGAAACACATGCATAAGTTTGATATTTGTTGAAAATGAGAAAGAGAATTCTAATGTAGTCTAGTACAGGAACAGAAAACAGATCAATGATTTGTGCCTTATAAACACAAATTAATAACATTAAATTAAAAAGTTGTACTATGTGTAGTTACAGATGTAGATATATAATATATATAATTTAATTCCTTACAATTAACTTTTTTATTACAATATTTATTAGTAAATTATTATAAAATGGATAATTGAAAGATAAAACTATATATGTGTGTATAAATATACATAATGCATTCTATAAATGTTTTTATGATACAAAAATTTTAATTGACGTAACTTTATCAATAGCCACGACTACAAATTATTATAGTGAATATTTTTAATTACATTACAATTGTGTAAAAGATATAAGATGTCACAATTTCTTCTTTCATATCAATATCTGGAAATGATTTGGACAATCTGTTCGTTTAATCTTTATATATTTATGTTAGTTCCTAATAATTTTATAAAATTACATAATACAACTGCTCTTTAATATGAAAAAAATTGTGATTTAATAACTGCTGTTATATATTATCTCAAGTTTGAAATATATTATATATTGTGATATTAAAAAAAGTGATCTAAATTACCATAAGTGCAATTATATTTGATTATAAACTTGAGTTAATATGTAATTGTGTACTGAATTTATTTTACTTATATATAATTTATTAAAAATGAAATTTAAGGAATTCTATAAAATTAATAAATAAAGTTTAGCATGTGAGACATATCTCTTGTAAATTTAAAATTAAAATTTAATGGCACTTCCATAACTATATTCGCTAAATTCTATTTATCCTATATATACCCATTTTGTATAAAATACTATAAGATGACCGAATATGGCTCCATATTAGTAATACATAATAACTGTTTATTCACTTTTATCTCAATTAGTAAAACAAATATATCAATATAATATTTTTAAAGCCGTCTCTCTAATATTTATTAACAGCAATACAAAAAGATAAATTACAAAAATAATAATGTACTTTAAATTTTGGATCTAACGTATTATAAAGTAACAATTTTGGTGTGTAAATGTAAGCTTATTTTTTTTACGTACATTTTTATGAAGTAAATATTTCAAGATATAAACTACATAAATAAATTACAGTGTTATTAAAACCACCACCAAGTACATTTCTAATTTTTGCTACATTAGAAAAAGTATAAAAATTTTTTTTAACGCAAGTTTATTTTTTTTAAATAATAACATATACATTTATTAATAAATCATAATAATCTTTCTATAAAATTTTGCAAGTCCAGTTTTATAATTCGTTAATAAATTTCGTGTTTAAAAATTATTGTAGAATTCCATGCATGTGTATAAATAAAAATAAATTTATTACATATATATACTCTATTAACTATAGATAGTATTATAGATCAAAGTATATTAGTAATTCGCTTGGCAAGACTTGGTAGAGTTTTAATACACGCCTATGATGAATTTGTATTATCAAAATTACTCATTGAACAAAATTCATGAATAGAAAAAAACTAGTTTTTTAAATATTTGATTATTGTTTTAGATACACTTAATATTATAAACTTAATAAATTTAAAGTAATAATCAGGGAATGGAAGAATAACTAAAAGTAACTCTTCCATTCACTGGTTTTATTCAATGAGTAATATAGAAAATGGAGTTCAGCATATCTATACAAATTTGGTTACTATTAACAGCGTATTGGTAATAAGACTTATATTACTCTTAAGTAGATCAATGTAATTGGGCAACTTCGAGATATTGCATTTAATAAAGTGATATGCTACAGCAATATGGCGTATGAATATCGCAATTAAATAAATTCTAAGTATTTTTATCACTTTTTTTTGTTTCGAACTATGTAGAATGTGAATAACATCGCGTGCAATATATACATCCTTTTATTAAACAGTAATCCAGTACAACTCATGTTACGCATTTCTGGCACGAATGAAATCTGAACTTCGTTAGTCCAAGCATATAAATAACACATAAAATAACGGAGACATAATGCAAAACAAATCCTTATTAAAATAAAAATTAACTGCAAAATGCATTTTAAATGTAATGGATACAACAGGAAAATTCATATACTTAATGGAAACGAACAAAAAGTTGTTACATAAGGACTTATTTTTTTCCTATTTCTTAATATTTTCACAAATGCACTTTTCTACCTTTTGATAATTTGCAATAACTTTAAATATATTAACATCCCTGTGATAAAACTTTCAGGTCAAGCTACAATAATAATATTTTTTACCAGTACAAGATTTTATTTTTACAACATCTATATCAAGGATATACTAGGCAATACTAGTAATCACACGATTTCCATCAACCTAACGCTGTTTCATAATTAGAATACATCGTATATACATTCACAGTCATTTTCAAATTAGTGCTTCCAAGCCATAACGTTTAATCCAGTTTTAAACAGAGAAAAAACTATTCATGGCGGTATGTCAAAAGATAACAATATCTATTGTAAAATTTGATTATTCCACTTAACACGTAAGGATGTGATATTTCGATTCGTTTGAACAATTAAGATATTACGGGAATGAATGTTACAATAATTTAGGCTTGCCATTGGCAGTGACAGTGGCGTTTATTGTTGAATTCGTTACCACTACTTCAGCAGCCTGCGCCACTGCTACGGACACGGACTTCTCCACAAAATGTTGGTAGAGTGGCTTCATGAACTAAACAAAAGAAAAAAATCATTCTTTCCATCAGTATTGCATTATTTTATGACAACCATAATATGCAACATTGCACAATTATATTATTTCTAAAAATTTCGAGATTTTTTTTGGTTTTTAGCTAGCAGTAATATTTACTTTATGAAACTTAACAAGTCAACATGGAAGAAGTATTAATAGTTATACGAAAAAAATAGATTTTTTGATCAAGCAGTTATGGATGTAATGTTTGGAAAGAGAAAGATGTAATCATAGTGGCAAATAGAGTTCAAAATTTGATTATATATGTAGCCGAATGTCATACCTTTTTGAGATATTTGCTCCTGTTAGCACTCAGCTTATGACAGGAATAAAAAAAGACAATAAAAAATAGTGATATTAATGGTTATGCTTCTATGAAACAGTTCTGGTTAATAAGAAAGAAATGTGCAAAACATAGACGTGTAAGGAACATAGAAGACTTGAAGAAAGAAGCAATTTGGAGTTAAAGATAATTAAAGACTAAAATTATCAAAAAGAAGAAAAGCGTGTGATCAGATGTAGCCATGTCTACGAAGATCGCGATAAGTAAAATGACATATAGGTATTGCAAATACAATTAAGATAATGGACAGGATTAGGTATCTTAATGTATAAGTTAATTTATAACAAAGATGAGCGCATAGCCAGACCTGTTGCAATAAAAAAAATGTTAAATATTAATTGTCATGTGACTATTATACCAACTATATTAATATGCAAAATATACACATGTTATGAAAAGTGCTTGCTTATATGTGACATATAAAAACAGATATAAATTTCATATATGTGATTTTAGTGAACACCTAAATATTTTATGAACATTTTTATACTACTAATTTTAACATCTCTTTCATAACTTATATCTCAGATTACGACAAAGTAAAAACGAGTACATTACACGTTTATAAAACTAATAAGTGAGTAAAAAAATCTCTACCTTTCTTAAATATCGTTTTTCATTAGTACACTGTAAACATATAATCTTTATCAGAAAGGTGTCATATCCATACGATAAAAATTCAAAGCGGGTACACAGAGAAAATAAAGAATCTTAATTTTTAAAAAGATACTTGTACTTACATTTTCCCATATTTTACTGGCTAAGTCATCTATTTGTGTTCCAATTTCTCTGAATTCTCCACTATACCTAAATAATATCCAAACAAAAAATGGTATTAAGAAATTTTGATTGTGGGATAATAAAATATTGTAACAAATGTAATATTTTTACATATAAATGTATACATACGTAACATACCTTATATATGCCCATAAGACAAGCGTGAGAAGGCCAATACCCATAATAAGATTACATACATTCGCTATTGTGTACAGCCCAACAAGACCAAATATTCCGGACAAAATATACATAGTAACAGCAATAGCGAAAAACACTGCTGGCGTTCGTGCTGCTTTAAAAATATTTTTGCTCTCATTGTGCGCTTTAAATTGCGAGAAAGCGTCATCCATGTCCTATATTGTAAAAGGAAAATAATTTATGATAAAATAGATATTCAAGAAAAAAATTATTAAATGTGGATATTTGCCTTAATTAATTTTTCCATATATATTTGACTGAATTCTTCTCCGCCCATCTTTCGTTTATTCTGGAATTGACGAAGAGCTGAGTCCATACAATGTTGATGTTCAGATTCTAAGTGAACGGTCGCTAAAAACGGTTTCGTTCCACCGCACACGTTCTCCATCATCTGAAGGTATAAATCCTTAGCTTCTGCTACAGCGGTTAAGTTGTTAGCTTCTGCTGTGGCCTGTAAATGCAAAACGTAATTACTGCGGTTTAGATGATTACCCGTTCCAGTTGAGCAAAACAAAAGATCGATTGTAAATAAAAACCGCAAATTACAGAAACCGCTAAATTATACGTACCACAAGCATACTTTTCGGTTCGGGAAGTTCATCTCCCTTGTAAAGATTGATATAACTTTTGAAATATTCTAACAGATCCTTCGCTTTCACGACTTGGCCGTTGATCTTTTTGGTCACTAGATTTTCCGG